ATCATTCAGAATTGTAATAATTATAGTATTAATAATAATTATTATACAATATTATATCAAGATTTGTATTAAAAATTTATATTATCAACTTCTTATTTAACTTTGCTGTCTAATGAAATAAATCGAGTACGATGATATTAATTTCAAATTTGATTTTTAAACAATAGTGCTCAAGCTATTGATCGACAACGTATACATAGCACAAATTAACATATAACAAGCCTGTGAAAGCCTTAAATTACATCGGCGATAGGCTGCATAGTGAACTCAAAGAATACAGTAAATAAGATCGGCAATTGGATATACAATGCCTAATAACGTAAAAAAAAAATCACAGTTTCATTTAAGTCTAAGATTCGTATGTATATAAGCAGTATTAAATAGTTACATTATTTACAATCTCGACGAAAGTCTCAGTGCAGCCTATCAAATCGCACATTCTAGTAATTAGTCAATTAATAAATGTATCCTCTCGATCAACTCCGTTCGAGAACGATCTATTATGCAAGAGAAATCTGGAGAGAGAGAGAGAGAGAGAGAGAGAGAGAGAGAGAGAGAATATAGTTAATAATATAACATTTATAAAATAACGCTCGTTTCGTGCTCAAAATTGCGAGTACGATTATTTTGATCCGATACTTTGACATGGGTAAGGTTTTTCGCGCTCTGTCGCATTAAGATAAAAGACAAGCAACGATAAGGCGTTTCTGACAAAAACTACGTTCTTCAATCTCATGATCTCAGATTGCACATCAGCAATAATACGAGTCAATAGTTGTCTTTTTTTTATTTCCACAGTTCCAAATTTTTTGCTAAGGTTTATAATTTCTACAAGTATATAATCAAATTCTTTTAATTATGAAGAACTAAGAAAATATAAATTAAGGATGATCAACAAAATTCTTCAACAATATTTTAATGAGAAAAAGTTATCGCTTATATTCTTTTAAATGTGTGGATCAAAACAAGAAAAATAATTTCTACTCGAAATTTCTGTATCTTTGTTCTAACTATTGGCCCGTATAAATAATAAGTTAAGAATAATCTGATTTTCTGTAGCCGCTGATCTTGATTAATGTCTTTTACTTTATTACTCTATTACAAAATCCCGTGGGACACGAAGAGAAAAGATCGCTTTGATTGAATGTACATGTAATATGCATATAATGGCGGTCGCGAGAACATCTCGCATGTATAAAAGTTTATCTCTCTCTTCTAATATTTCACTATCACTTAAATGATAAAATCTTTTCTATGAGGACAGTCGCCTTTCTATCTCCAATGATGATATTTCTACTCGCACAACAACACCACGAAACCTACGCCATCATAAGAAACTTAAATTTCGGATTTCAGTTTAACATTTACACAGTATATATATATATTCTTTTAATACATAAAACGCGTTTATATTATTTCGTTGAAATATTTAAAAATAATATTCCGGTTATAGCAAACGCGGATAGATAGAGAGAACGTTATCTTAAACGATAAAATTTGTAATACGTGAAATAAAAATTATATCGTCAGGATTTGATATCGAATACGCCATTAACATACGCAGATGGAAATGACAATTAATGGAGAACATTAACGAAGATCGCGGACTAACGGCTAACTAATATTAGATATGAATCGATTTCGCAAAAATGTATATCCTGACAAATCTCAAAGTGTAAGCATTGCCCGATGCTTCGTCTAAATGCTCAATGCGTACCCGCTTTCATGTTTTTCAATTACACAAATCGACTACCTTCTTTGAAACTTTAACTCGCTCGCCTCCAACATATGATTGACATGTCTTTTACACGTATATACATCATGTATCCGATAAAATTAACAAGAGATGAATATAATTTATGACTCATTGTCTTCCACCAACATCTCTATTATTCACAGCTAACTTATGCCTTTACGTACATGCGTCATATCGATGATCTATGTACACTATTAAGTATACAAAGTATTATTCATGGAGTTACACTTATGTATTTATGTATACGGATGTATATATAAATACACTCGTGTAAAATTAACACTAAACGGATTCATCTGTCGATATTTCTAAACAACTTTTCGAATAACAATTGTCGCTCAAAATCATAAAATAGTAGGATGTAGAACTTTGCTGATTAATCGCGCGAGATAATTTTCGACAGCTCGTACGAAATTATCCTGGATGGATCCTTTAAGTGTTAATTACCAATTCCACTAGTCACACCGGCATGGAAAACGGAAACTTTGTGCGATGGATAATACGCGAGAACACAGCGGCTTTCGAAAGCAGATATTCATTGAGAGTTTTACTGAACATTTTTTTATGTATGTATAAATTTTTATATCTATAGCATATATTATACAGGTTTATATATATATCAAGAATCTTTCTTGAGATTATATCAAGAAATTCTCTTTGAGAATAATAGTTTTGAATAGATTATAACGTTAAAAGCCATTCTCTGATTTTAACTCTGAACAGTTTTTTACTATCGAGAGCCACTATCGGAGAGTAAAACTCTTGAATATACACACCCAATCTAACTCGTACGAATCTCTCCGTTGGATTATCCTGACTTAGAGATAGTAAATACGCATAACGCGCGATGAGATCTCTGTTTTTTTTTATTAATAATTTTTTTGCTGATAATTTTTCTCCCTTATCTCGAGAAGCACATCTATTATTATTGTAGTCATTACCGCTACTCTCTACTATTAATTAATATACTACTATTGTTACTGCTGCTGCTGCTAATACTACTAATATTACACATTTGTTAGCATCTTTATTCTTCCCCTAATTAATATCATCAGTTATTTACCACTAGTATCGTCAATAATCAACATAATCATTAGCAATATATTGTTAATCTTATTATTATTATCATTATTTAAGTTCACTATTAATATTTATTGTTGCGGTTACTTTTGTTCTTGTTGTTGCTATTATTGCGAGCATGTTCTTCTCAGTGTGTTGCAAGCTGCATGTAATTCCCTTGGTCCTGGTCCCAGTTCCTGCTACTTGTCCGCTTGTGTTCGCAATGACGATCGAAGGAACGACTTAATCCTCACATATAGTCGAGGATACACTCAATCGATTAACACATTATCGTCGGATTATCGTCGGACCATCGTCGGACATGACTAAAACTGAACTTAAATTCTACAGATATACGTAACGTAAAACACTGGAAGACTTTACAATGCCGGGAGTATTATTTGTATAATTTCAGAGATCACACTATATCTCATAATTAAGGATACGCCATCTAGGAATTCTAAAATCATAGGGCTATATACATTCTTTTAATGGACATTGATTTTACATTAATAACGTAATATGAAAGACGAAAGACGCTATTTAAGACATTGCAAGGATGCGTGCTCAACGGTATGTTGCGTGATTAATCAAATTGTGATTATTGTTCATCCAGTTCACTCAAAAAATGCAAATTTTTAACATTGTGTGATTTAAGTAATAGATCTCGATTATCGTGCTAAATTAAGGATAATACAAACTGTGAACGAAATTAATGTCTCTACAATCCATCTATTCATCGTACACTTTAGCGCAACACAGCGTTTTTACCTGAGATACGAATGAATCGTTATATGAAAAAAGAAGACATTAGAATATACAAATGTATAATCGTCTCTTTTTTTGTATCAAGGGTTTCAAAGGATTGAGTAGAAAACACTGATGTTCTTTATTTATTCCCATTTCTTCAGACGTTTTCTTAAGACCCGGCGATAAAATCAATTGTGCCTTGAAAAAACAGTGATGTCTATTCTTTGGCAATGTGTAGAATAGTTTCTTCCAGATAGCTCTAAGCTTGTACACGCGATTATGTGATACAAGGCAGTGATTATAGCACGTGATAAAGTTTCTATTTTCCTATCTAAGTTTGTACCCGACAATCTGGTTTAGTTGACTGAAACTTCAGTTGATCAACTGAATTCATTCAATGCTTCAGCATTATCTTCTTTTAAACATTACAGGTTCTATCCGTGATATATATAAATTTCAGAACGATCATGCAAAACAGATTGAATCCAGATAAATTCGTGAACTCGCAAAATGCCGCGCATCAAAAAGTCTGCCTTAAAGAGATAGATTCTTGAGATAGATTATTTTATATGTACCGTCTAGTACATATTATACGGCGAAAGATAGAGGAAAAAATATCTAGAGATTGCGAAATATATATATAAAAAATTTATAAATATATAAATATATACCCCAAAAAAACCTTTTACAAAGCCAATGCAGAAGATAGATTCAATATGTTTTGCGTCATTGTTTCTCAGGAAATGAAAATTTAATTTAATTAGAGTTGATGTTTCACAACGCCGAGTTACGAGTAGTCCGTTAAGATTTTTGCAGACGTTAACAAAATCTCCACGTCATATTAATGTTCCGCTATCTAATTGTCTAAGACAACTCGTATTCGCCGATAAGCAATGTCCGCACAGAATAAGCTAGGAACCTACAGTGGTTATTTTATATATCTGAGAGAAATATATTTCTAGTTTCCACGGCTGTTTTCGATTAAAATTACGAATGCCTTTCCGTTGCAAATAGAATCCTGAATTCTTTTGTCGGATGCTGCCGATCATGATGAGATCTAGTTGTAATGTACAACACGCCATCCTTAAAGAATCGGTCTATCGAGAGTCTATCGAGAATCTATCGAATGTACAAAGCGCCTCTCTTTTTATCTCTTTTCGCTGGCAATTTTAGAAATGGTCTTCTGCAAATACGGAATCTCTTGCACCGTGTAGACAGATCCAGCACAGATTCCAGATTATTGCGACGGTTCTCTTTTCTTTTTCGTATGTCTGTATCGCAGTGTGTGTACGCTTTTATTCTCTCTCTTTTTCAGCGCTAAATCAACGCGGCTTTGTCTGAAATCACATTCACATACGATGCTCTGTACATTGAACACATAATAACGTATTACGTATATAAATATATGTGTGCGTGTGTATGTGTGTTGTTTTATACTTATTTATTACACGTCTGTTAGAATCTTTAACGGGTGCATCCTTATCCTATTATAAGTGTGTAACGATCATTCCGTTAATCTAGTTTATCTCGATCCCGCCTTCTTATTACTGACCTCTTCGTCGGCAGCAGCCTGGGTGGTGCTCGTCGGAAGTGGATGCTGCGCCTGCATGGGATGAGCGGTTCCGGTCGCCGCTGTGCTCGCCGCACCATGCGACGGGGCCACCTGCTTACCGTACTTAGCGGTATCCTGCTGCGATCCGCTTTGCGACTGCAATTCCGGTCTTCGGAGGTAAGCAGCCGCCTCCTTTTTCGGCGGTACCACTGGCTTATTCGGTGGTACCGGGGGCGGCACGCCGCGCGAGATCGACGGTTTTTTCGCGGGTAGAATACCACCACCGCCACCACCACCGCCGCCACCACCACTACCAGCACCACCACCACCACCAGCGGCAGCGGCACCGGACGCTTGAACAGCGGGGCTGGCGGCAGAACTTGAAGACTGGCCAACGTGAAAGCCGAGCTTCCCTGCAGCGGCGACGGCGGCTTGCGACGACGTGATAAGCTTAGCCGCGGCGGCGGCCGCGGAACTAACGGGCGCAGGTACAATCGGCTGTCGCTTGTCTACCGCCTGAGGAATGAACACACATCCATGACCGATTTTAGAGAGCCTAGCTGCGGAGACCGTCGCCTCCGGACACGCTCCGCCGCCAAGACAAAGAACGAGCACACGTTAAAAACGTTATTCTCAGGCTGCAAGGAATGGTGGAGGAAAAAAAGAACCATACCAAAGAACTAATCCAAAGCAGAGAGAGACAGAGAAAGAGACAGACTCGGTGGAAAATAGGGACGATAGCTACGAAAAAATTATCAAGACCGAAGAGGAGATAGAAACACCGTTATTTAAGCAGCAAACGATCACAACTCAGGCCGAGACTCTCGAGATGCTGAAATCAAATTGTGCGTATATCATCAGTGTGTGCTGTTAATAATTGAGAAAATACAGGAGCATCTTTCTTGCGACATATTCGCAAATCATCAAAAAATAAAACATATTTGAGACGCAGTTTAAGTTACCAAGGAGTGTATTAGTAAAACTTAACATATGCGATAGATTTTCAGAGATGAATATACGAGATACAGAAGGAGTAATTTCAAAAAAATAAATTATTTCAATCTGTCTCGTAATGCTACGGCATAACACTTTTGATTTGGCCAAGTATCCATCCGCTTGTTAAGAGATATGTTGCAAACCAACTAAACGATAGAGCACGTCAAAGTTCGTAGGACCGTAAAACCGTAATTTAGTAGTAGCGATTACGCCATTAGGAAGTCAAGCTGGGATAGTTTTTAAATAAAGCTCAGAAATGAATTGCATACAATCTCTGTTTTAATTGTAGGAATCGGTCGATGTACACAGATGAAATAATAATAATCTTATGTACACAAAATAAAAATATCGTAATAAAATAATTCTAGGCATTGATAATGTGCTAACTTATAAGATCGGTATATAGTGAAAATGTGTATAATATTGCGAGTGTGATAACTGCCACTAAATTTTTTTAATAAATTGCGAACGTGTATATAAAAGTATATACATGTGTAACATAAAGCAAATTTCTTTAAAATAATCCTGCGGATATTTATAGCGATTTTATTTGTATGAAATTTGTAAGAAATGTATGAAGCAACAATTCTTAAACTTTAATGCACCATTTGGTATGAGTGATAAAAGTAGCGAGCGTATATTTCGATAAATGCGACAGAAATCTTGTGCATTAAACATAAAATAAAAGCCAAGAACGATTATTTAGAACAAGCGAAATTCACTTTCTCTAATATAATTTTTCAAAATTTCATTTCCTATATTTAATATTACTTTACTGTCCTATATTTAATATTAATTTACCGAATGTACCTACATTGTTATATGAGTTAACAATGTAAAAACATTCAATAATCTTTCATTTCTAGTCAAATGTTATATTCAAAAAAATGTAACTAAAGAACATAAAATGGATAACTAGAATATATATTTGCCTTAATCAGCAAAATTAATAAATAGATACAACATCAGAATTTTTAAATTAAAAAAAAGATGAATACATATAATATATATTAATTATATAGTTGCAATAAATACATGATTAAAGTGCGATATTTTATGACCTTTAAAAAGTATGAATATGTAAGACTAGAAAAAAACTTATAGAATGCTCGCGTAAAATTAATAACAAATGCATTGTTTTCACTAAAATAAAGCTATGAAGTGATGTAATATATAGTTAAATATATTCTTCTATACATTATTCTCTCGCATATTTTAATAGCATTGTCAAAGATTACAAATAGGTCTTAAATTGAAAAAAGAAAAAATCGAAGATGCAACATAAATATTTCAACTATTTATGTACATTTAAAAACGCAAATATTTCAGTATTTATTTAATTATTAAAGGTTTAATATTTATGTTAATGGTATACTGTGCATACTATTTTCGTAAAGTTTAAATTTTGTAATATTTCTTAAATTATAAAGAGCCTACTTACATTATTAATTATGATCATTCTATAAAGTTCTGAACTATTTAAAAAAAAGAAAAACATTTCAGCTCATAAATTTGCGAACATAATTATTTTTTCTTTCTTTTTAGAATATGTTTTTAAACAATATTTATGACACATATTTATCATCATTATATCAATATATTATATTGAATTAAAGCTAATCCTATCTTTCGCGCAAAACATAAGTAGTGACTGATAAATTAATTGATTTCTACTTTCAATTAAATTTTTCTAAATTGTCAATCATATTTCTATGAATTTGTCTATTAAATATATTATCGTTTTTCACCCTCTCTTTCAAGAAAATACTAACAAAGTGCAAGTACTTCTTAACATCAAATACAAAAATATCTATCATGTATAACACTTTGCATGTATAAATAGGCTCTATATAATCTTTAGATTAACGTCGAGTGTGTAGGGAAATGTGGATAGGTTACCTGCGTATCTGAAGGAGCTGTAGACTCTCCACCCACAGATGTTAAATTAGGCGTATATGCAACTCCGCGAAGTGCCTGTCCCGGTGTTACAGATCTAGCAATTCCAGTCGCTAAAAAAAAACAAATTCATAGCATATTCATGATTTAAAATAACTATTCAATTAGTGAAACTAAGTTTTCATATATATAAAACTCATATAAATTTAATATGTATTTAGATAAATACTAATTTTTAACATACAATTTGTTAAATTGTTACATTTGTTAATGTATGTACACACACACACACACACACGCGCGCGCGCGCGCGCGCGCGCTGCATATTGAAATATTTAAAAAAAATCTTACTTGGTCCACTGACAGGAACACTAGACACTGTTGCAGTGGGTTGAACAACTTTACTACTAACCATAGGTGTCCCTGTACCCAAAACTGCTCCTTTCACTATGAAAGATAATGATAATTAGAAAAAAAGAGATTTATAATTTTAAATACATATCAAAAAAAATTTCGTAACAAGAATTTCTTCGTTATTTATATTACTTAACAAGTTTTTTCACAAGAACAATTTTTATTTTATACACAATAACATACTTGTTTGCGGAGCACTAGTCGACCTGAGTGTCGGCATGGCAACCAAATTCGCTGGTTTTGCGGGTGGCGGTGGTGGAGTTACACCAACTCCCCTGGCAGGACCGCGAGCCTGCGACTCCTTCCATGAGTCCATCTCGACTCGTAATTTTTCCAACTCCGTTTCGAAGTCTTTCGCTCTTTTTTCCTCTTTCGCGAGAGCTTGCCGATATTGCTGTCTTTCCATATCAAATTGCGCTAATTGTTTCTCCAACTCCGCTTCCATCTGTAGTGATTTTTTACTCTCCTCCTCGAGGCCCTCAGCCATCGAGTCTATCCTTACCTTTTCTTCACTGAGTATTTGAGCTAAATCCTCAGATCGTTTTCTCTCCTCAATGTATTTCATAATGATCTTTTTACGTTCCGCTAAGAGAAGTAATACTATCTGCTTTTGTCGACTCTTTTCCTCTTCGAGGTGGTCGTTGATCTTCTTTAATTCCATTTCTAATCTTTTCTTTTCCTGTTTCTCTAATTCTAATTCCTTCTTTAATCTTGTCCGCTCTTTTTCAAGACCGTAAGTAATATCGTCGCCCTGAGCAGTATCATGTTCGTGTTTTCGTTTTTCTTCTTCTAATTCTTTAATTACCTAAAGATATTCATTTATTATGATAACAATCATAAAATCAAATAATAACACTTGACTTTCTCTTTCACTTTACTTTCTAATAATTTTATTACTATATTTATACTATAAATTACAAAACCTAATAACAAATATGACAAAAATAGGATACATACCGCTCTATGCCTAATTTCAGCATCCCTAAGAACTTTAGTCATTCTACATTGCGCCTTTCTTTGCTGCGTCACCAGCGCTTCTAAACTAGCGACTTGTTGATCAATTTGACTTCCTTCAACACCAATCACACCACCTACTATCGCAATATCGCGAGCTAATGCCGCATGTGGATCTGCAGTACTACTAAGATATCGAGAACTTAGAAGGTGTTTCATTTTCTCTGACTGAAAGGAAAAACAATAATTAATTATAATAATTATTTATAATAAGATGAATGTATAACATACAATATTATAATAAGATATAAATATATAACATTCATCTTATAATATTGTATAACACAGTTTAAAAGTTAAAAGATTTTGATTATATAAAGATTTTGGAGCATTAACATGTCATAACTTTAGGAAATATTTCTAAAACTTAATTCTTATTAATCTATTAGAAATTTTTTGTCCTTTTTGCATCGTTCTAAAAATCATACAAAAGTAAAAGTTTTCAAACAAGAGAATATTTCATATATATGTATGTGCATGTGTGTGTGTGTGTGTGTGTGTGTGTGTGTGTGTGTGTGTGTGTGTGTGTTTATATTCTGTTATTATTTCATAATTTTATATTACATGTTATTGTCCAAATTAAAATACTTCTGCTATAATTATGCAGAATTAGAAATATAAAATGTATAACCATACATTCAAAATATAAAATAATTATATTATTCTGATTACTTTTAATGCCGCTATCACTATGTCTCTCGCTTGGAGCTCGCCTTCCAGATATCCCAGCAACTTCAACAAATCAGTTTTGCTCAGCTCCATCTTTGGATTGCGCTACAAATATGTACAATTGTTATTCTGAAACTTGTATTACATATAACTATAGTTTTTATCAGTTATTACAGGTTTCACAAATCCTTAATTTCAAGGCACCAAAAGAACACCTATCAAGAAACATACCTTTAAAGTATTAGAGGAATTCTTATCCAGTGGCTCGATGTTATTGGCATGCTGTGGCTGCTGCTGCTGCTGGGATTGCAACTGTGAAGGTTGAGTACCAGCGGCGAGGGTCTGCGCCTTCGCGGCTGAGATAGTGGCCGCGCTGGTCAGGACGGTAGAGCCCGGCGACGGCATCGATGTCGACGGTGGTCCGTTTGCCGTCGTCGACATCGCCGTCGTCGACATCGTCGTCGCCGACGTGGTGCCAGGCGAGGTGACATTGACGCTCTGACTCTGCGATGCCATTATCGCGCTCTATTTACTTAACGTGTTGACAATGACAATGAGTGAAGCGCGTTGTCGTTGCCTCCTGGCCTCGGTACAGCTTGGGAAGGGTAGCTTTGTGAAACTCGCTCGTTCGCTCGCACGCCTCTCGCCTAAGCGCACCCAAGCTATTCCTACGTCGACTTCCTCACCCCTCGATCCGGAGTTTCGCCACGAGCATCACGGGACGCGCGAGCACCCTCGCCGGACACCCAGCGACCCAGGATGCTCGCCACATCGCCGACACGGGACCGACGACCGCGCGTACTTCTTCTTCTTCCCGTCGTCGTCGTCGTTGTCGTTGTCGTTGTCGTCGCCGTTCTCCTTCTCGCCTTCCTCGTCCTTCTCCCTCTTGTTATCGTCGTTGTCGCCGTCGCCGGCACCTCGATCGTTACTCGAGTCGTCGGGTCGGCGTTCAACGCCGACGAGAACGAATTAACGTGGCGGCATCCAGCGCGGCGGGCCGCTCCGCCTGTCTCTCTCTCTGTCTCTTTCGCTACACTCGTCCCCTTGACAAATCAAGCGCACAAAGCGCAGCCAGGCTCTACGGCACGGCCAAGCGAAACTCGATGATCGCCTCCTCGTGAAGGGCGCCCCGATCTACCATCGATTCCGAGTCAAATCGAACATCGAGATCGAGGATCGCGATATCGAAAGGTCGATCCATAACCGCGGTGAAATACAAAACGTCGCTTGGCTTCACTGTTCTCTTTTTCTTATTCCGTCTTTTGTTTGTATCTTTCAAGGATTCAATAATATCCTATTATTAATAATCCTATTAAATTAGAATCCCATCCAAATGATTTCGAGGAAAATCATTTGGATGGGATCGTATCGTATCTCTCTAAATCACTTCGACCGAAAAATATCGTATCTTTTCTATTAACAGAAGTTTTGCCAATTTGATAAAAAAATAATAAGAAAAAATTGTGATTAACTAAAAAAATTTGGTTTACTTGTCCATTTCGAAAACTTTCCATTATTATAAGGAAAACATAAAAAATTGGAAAAAAAAAGATAAAGAAAATATTAATATTAATATTAATCTTCATTGATCGAAATGGATATTAATCGATAATTTAATCATGGATTTATTAAGGTTTAATCAAGACTATTTTCAGACCAATATCTTGTTAGTAACATCTGAGATTTTTTGGGCGTGCTGATTGGCTAATCAGATAGGAGAGATGTCGAGTCTTTCAAAATTTTCTATCCTTCAGCCAATCAAGATGTTTGAAAAAATCGCGTCCAATGCGCAGGAGCCATTAGCCTGGATTTCTCCCGTAACGAGAAAAGCCTGCCTACAACAAGAGTGCCTACGTCGACGATATCTCTCTCGTTCCTGCGACGTCGATGACGAGGACAGCGGGGAAGGAGGACCGTCGGGGTCGTATGCATATGGTGTCGTGCGTGTTTGTTATCGTTGGTGTTATGCGGACGGTGCTGCGGGTGCTGGTCTCGTTGTAGTCTCCCTCCTTCCTCGCGGTACGAAGCAGGATGGGCAATCAGGTGGCACGCGTCGGACATGTGTCGCACAAGAAGGCGGAGTCGGCGACCACTCCGACGGGCACCGGTACGAGCGTCAATGCCGCCGCCGCCACCGCCGTCGTCTCCAAGAGCGAGCCGGACCATCACAACTCTCAAACGCAGTTCTTCCCGATTGAGAGCCTCGCAAAAGTACAGTAGTCCCTATCCAATATCCAGCATTCTTGATCTGTAACAGTGGACTTGTACATTAGGAAGATTGTTTAGAAAATACAATACAGAAGGCAGAAACAGATTCTTATCATCTAATTCCTTAGGATAATTTTAATTACATCAATATATTTTTTTCTGAATCTGCGCTATGATTCATAGAAATTATTTTATACTTCTTCTGCGAGTACTTTAAACATTTGTATTATATTTTCCTGAATATTTTGAGGTATATTTTTTTATCATACATTTCTTTCCTTCTGATCTTCCTTCTGAATTGTAGTTTTGAAATCTGTGACTCTGTCAAAAGAATATAAAGAAGCAAATTTTTACAGATGTAATATTAAAGATATATTATTTGTAAGTGAATCATAGGCAAAGAATTATACTGGAAATATGATATAGAATTAAAAAAAGGGGCAACTGCTTTTGAAATTAAAATCTGCATACTTTAAATTTGTTTATAGCTGAATTACTATATATTTATACCTAAAATGAAATAAATATATATTTAAAGAGAAAAAGTTTTAAAGAGAAAAAGAAGGTTATAGAGTACAATCTAGTATAACATATTTGTGAACAAATCTTATATCTTATTATAGGTTAATTGATATATATCTAATTGTATATATGACTAATTTATCAAAAGTTAGCTTTACTTGATTTTATTTATATACTGTTTTATATATATATATATATATATATATACATACACATATACATACACACACACACACACATACACACACATACACACACACACAGTATATGAACAGATCTTTGTGAACTATCTTTATGAACAGATATAAAAAAGCAATTAAGTATTGCTTAGAACATATTTCGATATATTTATTTGATTTTTTTCACAAGTATAATTTTAAAAGGAGTTTATTCACTTAGAATATTTCTAATATAATTTTAATATGTTTTGCAGATATTGTCACAGCTGGCCTATCAAGAAGAACATATTAATGGCATTACTAAGTCTGTATTCGAGAAATACTTATTTCCCACTCATCCTGAATTGAGTGAGAAGCTTTTTACTTATTTACATTACAATGCCCATGCCACAACTGCATACATAACTACAACAGCTTTTAAGCAGCAAGCTGAGAAGTTCCTGTCAGTAATGAACGATCAAGCTATATTGGAGAATTATATAAAAATGTATACTGATATAAAAAATAGCAGCAATGTTACTCCTGAAACACTGCGAGCATTATTGATGAGTTGCTATCAGCTAGCTATGGAAAACAATAGCACCAACTTGTGCCTTCACTCGCATCAGATAATAAACGCAGTTGTTGTTTCATGTGTTAGTTAAATTTATTGACGCAATATAGTATATATTTACAGTGTAGATTAGAATGTAATTATTATATAATAATTATTAACCATTTATATGTAAATTATAGTATTTGACTTGCATTCTGTATAAATAATTTTTATATTGTGCAAATATAATATGCAATTATTACATTTTGAAAATATTTTATAGTTTCACGGCAAAAACAGTTTGTCTACAAGTTACGTAAGCAATTGGATCGGACAACATTGTCCACGTATGGTGCACGGTCTACAGCGATATGTAATACATGTACTAACAACTGCTTATCGCAATGGTAAGGTACTTCTATCAAAAGAACAACCGCAACCTCACGTCGAGATACTCACTCCCGTATTGGAAAAGTCGAATCAAGAATTTCCTCAAACAAACTTGTTGCCGATGAGCTATGTTTGGTTGCTGTCGTGTACACTACCGCAGTGTTACCTTCAGGTAAGTTATAAATCACAATACAAATAATTGATAGATTACTATCTTACCCTGCCTGTAAAATATTTTGTGTAAAGAGATTAATTATTGCCGATAAGCTTATATTGTACACATAATTGAATCTACGTATCTATGTGCGTGGTATGTCTGTGTGTAGATCAACGATTCACCGAAGGACATAACTCACGCTTTGATAACCAGAAGAACAGGCAGTATTTGTCCAAGGCATTGGACGTTACTGTACAATAGCGGAGAACATGGAGCCGGGGCTAATCGCTTCCTTCACCATGTATTAGGTTACAGAGGTCCCACTTTGCTAATTATAAGAGCAGCTAGTGTAGAGAGAGACGAGGAATGTCCGACGTATTGCGTGTGCTCGGCCATCGAGTGGCGAGAAAGTCATCTCTATTGGGGCGACGAGGACTCGATGGGCATTCAACTGACTCCATCCTACAAAATCATGGAGAAAGGTCCGAAAATACTATACTTGAATACAAATATCAGGGGCTATCCGCACGGTTTGCGACTCGGTAGCGATCCGCGCTCGCCGCTGATCAGTATCGACGAATCATTTCATTCGGTGACTATTGCCGGCGCGCCTTATCGCATCGCCAATCTGGAAGTGTGGGGTTGCGGCGATACGAAGCTAAGGTAATGTCTTACGAATTGTATATAATGAAATCATTCCTTGACACAATATGGTAACAACTAATATTATTGATATGCTCGCAGGGAAAAACAGTTGGAGATCAAGAAGTGGCAGGTAAAAGAAGCGGAGAAACAAAGAGTCGTCAAATTAAGCGCTAGCGATTGGCTGGATCATCCCGATCGTTACTTATTAGAGCTGGCCGGTAGAGCATCTTACAACGAATCTAACAAATAGAGCCGCGAAAGGATAACACGCGTGCTCAAGTAACTGCTCATATTACTTATCTTGTTTTGTACATATGTATATAGTGTCAAAGATATCACCGGAATTTCTGTACTTATATATTGTGCGTCAAAGAACGTACGCATGAAATGTGATTATGTGATTCACGTGAAATACAGGGGCTTATGCTTAACGTACTTAAGCACAAGTGCCAGTTTGTATTATCATCTATTTATTATTCTTTTTTTCAATATTTCCTCATGCAAATGACATGGTTTTTATTATATTTTATAAATATTGTTTCCGTTTAGCGGCCTGATTTCACGAAAGATTATTTCTTAAGATATTTCTCAATATTTTTTAAAATTTGTGATTGTGATGTTTTAAAAATCTTATCTTTACTTGATTTTAAATCGATAAATTATCTTCGATAAATCGATAAATCTTACTTAAATAATATATTCAATATGTGAAATCATCTTTTAAATGTTTATACAAAGAGAAAGAATATACATATATATATAAAGTTGAAATAAATATATTTTTATATAAAAATTTCATACATTCTGATATCTCGATATATTTATATATATTTGCAAAGTTTTTGTTCATATATTTAATGCGATCATAATACTATTTTACAACTGATTTAAACAGAGTTTTAATTTATCATCAGTCTATTTTTATTATTATATCATTATTCGATCAGTCCTTGAACTTTTTATCGCCATCGTCAATTCTATGAATGAGACTTTTCCAGCTAAAATCTTCCTCGCCATCGCGCAAATTTATCACGTTCTTCTCATCGATGACGTCAAACAGACTTTTAAATGGCGCGTATCTTGTCAACGTGACTTTATCAGCGATTACGATCAGTTTGTGTCTCGCGCGAGTAATGGCTACCGTCAAACGTCGTTGATCGTTCAATATTCCAAATTCCTCCTTTGTTTCGTCCTTGGCACTCTTTGTACACGAGTACAATATAACATCCTTATCACGTCCCTGGTACTGGTCCACGGTATTCATTTCTATTTCCTTGTCTATGATTTTCTTTAAGAAATTTATATGAGCATTATATGGCGCTATAATTCCTATATTTCTAGCACACACGCCTGCCTCGATGAGCACCTGAACGAGACGTGAAGTAATAGCGGCCTCCCAGATATTGGTGCACATTTGATTCATCGCAATATCCTTGTTATCGAAGTCCACATTTAGATTATAAGTGCTACCAGTATTGAGTACTACTACCGAGTCATCTAAGTGCCTGGAGAGCGCGCTTCTTATCCACCTCTCGCAGGACAAAAGAACCTGCTCCATGTTCGTGCCAATCAAGACTGCGTTTTCTACTTGTTTATTCCCTAACACCAGTTTGCCGCGATATGTTACATCATTGGCCAGCCTCATGATCCTCCCATTCATTCTGTACTGCTTTGACAGATTGATGGTGTTTTCATCGCTGTCCAGCCTGATAAACAGAGATTCATCCGCGCCGAGTTTCACGGCAGTTTTGTTCTTGATGACGGGTGGCAGTTGATCCGGATCTCCAACAAGGACGAATTTGCGCGCGCTGTACAATGGTCGCAGTACTGTGGGCTGCATAATTTGCGCGCTCTCGTCCACTACGCATACGTCGAAGGTGCGCCTCCTGACAAGCGCGTGATACGCACCATAACAAGTCGCACCTACGATTCGCTTGCTGTTGTAGAGTGCCTCCAGGGCCTCTGGCGAATCGCAACTTGCGATCGCGTATTCCTCACTGTTACACGTCAACAGGGAATGAATCTGTTTCGTCGAACCTAGCCGTAGAAAATCTATATTCCGCTCCAACAACTTTAACAGAACATTGTCTACCGCGCTGTGCGTGTGTGCGGTGATCAACACGCTAGAGCCCAACTCCTGCAGTAACTCTATCAGAGCCACTAGCGTTTGCGTCTTGCCCGTACCTGGCATGCCCTTTATCAGAACATAATCATGAGCGGCCACCGCCTTCAATACAGCTCTCTGCTGATTCTCGTTTAAGTCACTTATGATTCTGGTGCTAGTCGATACAATCGACCGTGGCAATTTGTTCATAAATGTGGCCGGTCTCCTATCGATGACGATGCGCCGAAGATTGACAATCGTTTCGTCGTTATTCAGCAAACCAGCCACGTTCGCATAATTAAAAGTAGATAGACCTGTAGATGGGAATCTATCGATATGAAACGTTGAATGTGCGTACAATCGCGTAATATCTTTGTCCAATAGGACCGCAACAGTGTCATACGAAATGTGCGTTACATGCCCGGTAGCAATGTTAATTCGTGCATCCGTGCTCACAATAATATAATTATCTTCGGCAATCCCACCGCCGAATGTACCATTCTCAATAGTCTCTCCCTTAATATCGACACGTGCGAACGTATGTTGATATCTATCACCCTGCTCCATCACTTTGCTGATAATTTTCAAGTTGCAGATACACGTTCCTTGCGCCTCCCTTTTCTCAGGACTCATCGTCCATATGCTGATTAAACTGCTATTACTATTCTCATAGCTTTCTTCCAATTGCAATAATGCGATCCATCTCATAACATAATCCAAATGACTAGTCTCAAAATCGTCCCGCAATTGTTTAATCATCGCCGTTAATGGATGCGATGATGATAAATTCGCGCTCGGGTCCTTTGCAAGATATGCACAGCATAGAGTCTGATAAGGACATCTGCCACACGCGCTGTGATGATTGATCGGCTCGGGCAATTCCATCGCCTTCAAATCCGATTCCGCGTCCGTGCCCTGTGGATTTTCGGGTTTTTTAGCAAAATAATGCGCCAAAGTATTCCGTAACAATATCAAGTCTCTCTTCTCATGATGTCCACTTTTGATTTTCTGCATCGAGTTTTCCTTTAGATATAACAGAAGTCCAGTATCAATATCCTGATCCCTAAAACCCATCATCATGAGATAAAGAATAACTTGGCCCTTGTGCTCTAATGAATAGGAAGCTCTTCCAGTTTTCACTTCCAGAGGCATGATTTTCTTTCTCGAATTGATATTTACCTCCGCTGTTATATCTATCCTTCCCTTTATACCTAGCTTTGGTATATAAATGCTCTCCTCAATATCCTGTATATTACAAATACTCCCTTGAAAGTTGTCTTTTAGATTGTTTACATGCTGCTGTTTGTTACCCTTAATATAATGCTGAATAAACTCGACGATTCGCGGGGCGTACTCCATCATGCGTTTCCGACAATCTATAAGCGACATTTCTGACGCGTAGAGATAGTCTAATGTGTCCTTCGATTGTAACATATCGTCCAACAGCTTGATCACATCAGACAGAGCGCAGATATTTTCCCGTAATGCCTTTTGCAACCACTGATGAGTCAAAGATCCTATAGTCATCGTGGAATAATCAGCATTCAAACTCGGTAGCGACTCTATCTTTCTGAATTTCTCGCTCAGCACCGCTCGTCTATTACAAAATAAACCACCCATTATCGTTGTGCCTGATATCAGTAAATCAGGTTGCGTAACAAGGAAACCATTATTGTTATCCACAATCCATCGCCGCGAATCCTTCTTCGCCTGTATCGTGACGATATCGTCAATTTTCAATTGCACGTCTTTCCAAAATCCTGAGCATGCCACATTGTCGATGCCTTCAGATTCCACATGCTGCACCTTTAAGACAGTAACTTTCGATTCATGCGTCACATCAACTATCTTACACCTCTGAAAAGTAGTTAAATCAATTTCTGCATGCCACTCCTGATCAAAAAAATCATCAAACGAATCGCCATCTATTATCACTGAAAAATCTTCAAAAGATTCTACTTTCTTCAAACTATGTGATTTAGTCTTGTCATGTTTAGGTGTTTCTATAGCAGATAAAGACTTCAAAGCAAGAGTATTTAAGTCTTGCGTTTCTTTAAGAATATGATTGTCACTATGAGTAAGATTCAAAACATTTGTCTTATGCCCAATATTAGTAGAATTTTGTAGAACGTTTACATTCTGCTCACTTTTTCCCATTAATGTAGCATTTCCTTCATTTTTAACAACTGGAGATGTATTCTTACACATCAGTTTATTCTCCTTAGAATTATTACATAAATCTTCTAAATTATTTGATACAGATAATATCACTGAATCCTCATGTGATTCAATAAGACTTTCTGCATTGTCAGTCCAAGAATCCTTCAATGACTTTTTATCCACATTACATTTCTTCTCAACTCTCATTAAGGTATCTTCCTCAAGTGAGCTATCTCTTTCCTTTCTTTTTTTCCCAATTGATACTTGAGATAAAGAATTTGTATCCGGTACAACTTTATCATTACTTACAACAGCTTTTGGAATTTTTGTAAAGAATGACAATATTTTCTTCTGAGATTTATCGGCATCGTTAGTGGTAAAAATCTACAAACGAGGAAAGTTATGCTCATTAATTATAGAAAAAATAGCCTAATTCTCACATGAAAAAATATAAATTACATTCCTATTTTCTATTTAATTATATCAAGCATACTATTACAGAATTCAAAATCAAAGATGACATATCAAAGTATCATTTTATAAGAAAAGATAGAATATAGACGAATTTTTTAACTCATCGATTAATAAATCGCATTCTTCTCTATAAAAGCAGCATTTACACGTTATGCGATTTATTAATCGATGAGTTAAAAAATTCGTCTTATCTAACAATGATGAATCAATAATAATATGCAAACACAAATATGCATATAATACACATTTTCAATACCTTTTTTCGTGATAATTGTCGTTTCTGCATGACTGCGTGTATTCGTAGCGACTTTGCAGATATCTTTTCTATATCAATCTGCCACCAACTCAGAGCTTTACATTTGCACCAAGCATCGTTGATTTTATATCCTATAAAAGTTTATGAACGCAGAATTATTGTTCCCGCGCAAATAATCCATACGTCATGACAGCGATTTCGTAAACAAAAAGTCTGTTCCATTTGATGTTCGCAAGTTCTTAGAATTGTTTTATCTTCGTTGTTCATCGAATAGTAAACAAGGAACAACGATGCTCGCGAAGGTATAAGCATCAAATGAGGTTTGTTTTCCACATTGGAATTGCGTTAAACTTTCTCGCTTTTGTCAAACTTCAATAACAGGTATAAACTTCTTGCAGTTCAGCCGAAAAGAATAGACTTTATATATCTCTTTCATTTTAAGTACAAGTGTACACTAGTTCCGTTACCAAAAACAGACCAATAGAATGTATGTACCTACAGACGCATATCTAACAGCATATTGAAATCATGAATGAGAATATTTTTCGCTACTACGGTCAGAGCAGGGCCCATTTGATCACGTTGCAATTGACCAGCCACTCGTAACGTTTGAACAGAAGAAAATCTCTAGGCATCGGCCGCTGTGAGTGGCTACTGGTAGTCAATCGCAACGTGGTCAAACGGGACGCTCCCCTACGGGGGCTTACTACAAATGCTTTGAAACGTTTTTAATTGATGCGCTAGTAAAATTCTTTGTTTTGATTGAACAATCAAACGCTTCGAAGCATCTATAGAGTTACATTGACCGTAGCCTAGATGAAACAGACTCGAACTTGACGAGTCACAAAGTCGAATTATAAGTAATTTTTAACTAATATTGATAAGTAGATTAATTAAAAATAATTGGTCAGATAAAAATTTAATTAGAACAATTTTTTTATTGTTACTCTGATGTTTCGTGGATGTACCTTTATTTATGACACGATAATAATCAATTTTTATCTAATAATTATATTTTTTGTTATTATTCAAGCTTAATTATCCAATGATGAAAGAATATATTTTTTAAATAATATGATTATTGCATTGTAAAAAATATGTATTATTTAAAAATATATTTTTATAGTAATAAGTCAAAAAATTAATATTGCAAATTAATTGAAATCCTAACTTCATGTCCACAGACAAAGCATTAAAATTACCAGATAAAAATTATCAGATGTTAATAAAAATAGATAGAAAAAGAAAAATTTAAACTCTCATAAATAAAAAAAAAAAGAAATATATTCAGCTAGCATAAGAATTAACCTACTCTGAAAATAATATATCATAATAAAATAGTGCACAGTATATATTATACAATATATTTAAAAATATTTTAAAATTTAAAAGAAATAAAAATTTTCAAATTAAAAGAAAAATTTTATTTAATTATAAAAAAAAAAGTTTTTTTAATTTTTACATTTATATTGTTGCAATTTTACTAATATTATTAATAAAACAATTATAAAATGTATATTAACTATATTTTCTTATTTCATGTTATCTTATAACCTAATTATTTTCGATGGCAGTTCTTAGTAATTGA